TGTGTGTGTGTGTGTGTGTGTGTGTGTGTGTGTGTGTGTGTGTGTGTATTGTGTATAAATAGTAATATAGTATAAAAAGCCAGCCGTGACCGTAATGGAATCTGTAAAGAGTTCAAAACGTTGATTGTTTGTAAAACAAACATGTGTTTTGTTAGATTCCGAAACATACTTTCATTTTAGCAATCCCGAAAACCTAGGAACTCTACGTATATATATATGAGACATAATTGATATCTGTGAATATTTCTGTTGGAAAATGTAATTCAATTTTAAAAGGTATCTAAATACCTATCTTACATACCCATTCTACTTATTCTAATAATAACTAGCTAATAACAATTCAACATTTTGCGTTAGTAATTATTCATTTACAAGCTTTTTATTACTATATTTATTAATAATTGCCTTTTACAAAATACAACGCGATGACTTCAAATTGCCAATGACACGGTTTAATATAAAAATTTGACATTGTGACAAGCTTAACACCTATATTTTTATTAGGTACGCCCAACGCAGCATTTCTTATGGTTTTTTATACATTCCCAGTTATTTCTGTCAAGATGTAAAATTTAATATTCATTATGTATTTTTTAATTTTCATCTATTTCGCTAACGGTGCCTACTCTTATACAAACCATAATCTAATAATTATTATTTATCAACTAACACTAGTATTGTCATTGGCAACCGGTGCCATTTATGAAAAAGAAATATTCTATACAATATCAAATAGATACAAGGTTTCAATAACTCATTTACAAAGAGCATACAAAAATACTCTTTACACAGCAACTATATTATTTTAGAGCCTACTCCTTCAATTGAAATATGGAATGGATATTATACAAAGAATCTAAATACATACGGGTCTATCTAAACAAGTCAAATTTTGAAAGTGGTCCTATGCTAACGTGACCAAACGTCTCGCTTTAAACGGGACAGGCCCGCTTTTAAGCTTCGTGTACCGCTGTCCCCAAAATACTTAATAATATCCCGCTTTGACAAAACTGGACATCGTGACATTAATTAAAAAAAAGGGCGCGAAAGCGAAGAATATTTCAAGCCAGCCCAGCAGACTACATATCGAACTGCTATTACAATAGTGTTGTAACTCAAAATATGTGAAAATGAAGATTATATCACAGTTAAACGTAAAAAATTTGATTCCCTACACGTCATTACTACTACACCGTCGTTAAATATTGTAAAAAAACAATTGAAGTATATTTACTTAACTCAAAATGAGATAAACTTTACGTGAGCTAGTTCTGGCCAAAACAGTCCTTACGCAAAAATATAAAATTATTTTTCCCTTTTATTTAATTTACATATATTTAGCAAGTATGAAACAAATTAGATGTCTGTAATAAGCTTTAACCTATACATAAATTTTGATGATCTTTCACGGGAAGTAAAAGTAATTCGTTTTTCATCGATTCTGAAAAAATACACTTTTTGAGCTAATACACTATTGTATCAACAGTGCGATATAATTAATTGTTTTTTATTTTTTTTTAATCATTAAGAATTTTATAACTGTGTTTTATTTTTAAAACATTAATAACTTTACAGGCATCCCGATCTGAGAAAAAAAAATAATGGTCACGCTATCCTATGCAAAGTTATCAGAAGTTTGAAATAACAAAATATAATTAACTTTCAAAATTTAAATTTAAAATAGAATGAGTTCACATTAAATATAAAACTAGAGCGCATTTATATCTACACCACAATTTCACAGCACTGTTTAAAAGGTGTCTCTAGAAGTAATTCCTTTAGTTCGCACTTTAGCGCTTTACATAATATGATTTATATAATATTCTGTAATTTATTCTCCGCACATAACCGCAATTGTTAAATTTGTTGATCAGTTAACACACTATGCAATAGTGTAAAATTTCACTTATTTAATATCAAGTCAGCGCTTTTACTCTAGCGTCCTGTACTTGAGAAGTGGCAACCGATCGTGGTCACCACGTCGGGGCACTCAGGTACCTTCGTCGGATGAATCTTCCGATGATGAGCTGGTAACAAGGGTCGAGGCCAATCTAAGCTGTCGGATAAACGGCTCGCGTGGTAGACTTTGCTGGCCAAGAGGCAACCGGCGAACTCCCATCCGTTCGCTTTCTGGTAGCGATTTGCAACATTTTTCTTCTGTTATTGCATCTCGGGATAGAGACCTGTAACATTACGAAATGAATAAGCAATTCATTTTTATTGTTGGTTTTTTATATCCCAGCACCGGATTTTCGTTCTTAGATGGATTTGATTGACAAATTAAGAAAGTTGGTTCTAGGTTTGGGTTCTATATATTAAGCCTTACGAAAGTTATAAATACTTATTCGAAAATTTGGGCAAATTATATTGTTGTATAATTATACAACAATATAATTTGCCCAGATTTTCTAATCTTATACTATTGTAAAAAGACTGCTGTTTAATTAAACAGCAGTCTTTCTACAATAGTATAAGATTCGCAATACAACAATCAGATTAAAATAAGACGAACTAGAAAATTAATCAGACACCACAAACGTGATGCATAAGGTCGGTGTAATAACAGTACATAATTTTATACAACCCTCGCTTCCATGTCAACTGCACGACAGTAGCATAAATTTATGCAACTTAAAACAGCTTCCGGAGCTACAATTATGCTACTTTAGGTAAAAATATGAGGTGCATTTTCTGTTAGTGTAATCGTTGGGTAATTATCTCGAAAATAAAGTGGACTCATTTTCATTTAGAAGTTTAATTCCACTTGATCACAGATTTTATTCTACTGAAAATTAGATTAAGTCGAGAGATGGAAAAACGTACCCTGTGAGTTCTAGCATAGAGCCTCTTCTGCACTGTCCTCGATGGGGTCCTTGCATAATACTGGCAGGACGGGACGAAGCGCCAAGAGGGTCCGAGTGGGCTACATCTTCCATCAGCAACACTGACGGCCCACCAAGGCTGGTGCTCCTTTTTGAAAGCAAGCTGGGACCATGTCGTTGACTAGGTTCACCCTTATTCGAGAAAGATTCTCCCTTCGTCGATCCTTCACCCTTTTCAGAGTCCGAAGTACCAGCCTCCGGACCCTGCGTAGAACTAGAGCTCTCTCTTCGGAAGAGACCTATGATAGATTTCGGATGTTTTGGCTTCTCTATACCACCTAATGACGCGATGATGATTGGTTTTTACAATGAGGGTTGAAGGGGAGAAAAGAGAAAAAACAGAAATCAGAAAATGTAGATAAAAGTTCCATTCTAAAAGCTAAAGGTTTTAAGAAAGTGCAGGATATAAATATAAATTATCATTTGATCTTACATTCCTTATCAATCTAAATATTACAGATAAATATCAATATGGCACTATGTAACTATCAAAAGTACATATCGTGTAGATTAAGAACTAAAATAAATTGGATAAGTTCTTTCTAAGCTAATGTGTCTACAGCAAGTAAATAATTATTGAATATAGTAAAAAACCTATTTAGCGTGTGAGTAAGACAATATATGTAACTCAAATTGTGTATCTAAATGCTTAGTTGTAACTTAATCATGCGGCCAGACAATTCATAAGCAAAGAGTACTTCAAGCTTCAAACATTGTTTCTTAAATATACAGGTGACGTAATAAGTAAATGCGTGTGCATTTAAAAATAACTTAAAGAGACCGGCCTCAAAAGTTTGTGAAATAACTTCTATATGCCAAGTTTTATTGAAATCGGTTAAAGGCAAGTAAAAACCAATAAACTAGGTTCACCCCTAATTTGCCACCCTTAGAGACAAAATATTTTCTTCAAATTTGAATAAGACCACCACTGAGGTACACTCTTTCCAACAAAAAAAAGAATCATCGACATGAGTTAACAAATGTCGGACTAATCGCGTAATATACACAAAAAATACAGGCCAATTGAGAACCTAAACCTTTTTTGAAGTCGGTCAAACACAAAGAGCTACAATTGTTTATAAAGATATTAAGAACAAAATGAGACAGCTAACTTTAAAAGATAAAAGAAATCTAAAAAGTATACCTATTATACTTAGGATACTAATCTGCAACTACTTGTAGTCTTCTACCCAAATGCATTCGGATTGGTAGAATATGTGACGTACGATGATGATGTAAAATGTCATACTGCTTATCCTTAAATATCGTGATCCTAAGTTCACTATAACTTATTCCCGAAACCAATTAGCAACCATTTAATTAAAATGAAACTTCAACAAATAACAAGTTAAATGTTGTTACTAAATAAAATTTACGGTAAAATTGCCTGGTTACCTACTTGGGTGCACCTTTTTGCTCATGTGCTGTAGCTGTTATATGATTAGTTTATTACTTTATTATTCAATTAGTGCACGTTTACTACTATAGTGAATTACTCTATCAGCCATATTCCAAATTGCTGTTTGTTCATATGGTTAATTGAATTTTTCGTAATAAAATATCCAATGGAAGGTGGCGGTTACTGCTAAGAGAAGTTAGGTGCTGTAAAGATCGCATATCGGTACACGCATCTTGTTACAAACTCGTTTATATTTTTATATTTATAGTTTACTAGCTGGTGTTCGTGACTTCGTCTGCGTGGAATAAGTACTTCGAGTAACTTACTGTACTTATACTGTTTCACAGTTTTATTGGTTCTCCATACAAACTTTCGACCTAATTTCACCCCGTTTAAGATTTATATTTGTGACTCCTTATGTCCTTCCCATAGATTCCATCTATCTCCATATCAAAATTCATTAAAATTGGTTCAACGGTTTAGGCGTGAAAACGCATCGAGTATATAACCAGAAATAGAGACGAAATGTCATTGAATTCGTTTGAAAATTATTCCGTCATATCATTATGGTGGCAACTGCGCTTCGATTGGCCAGCCTGAAGCTGAAACACGAACGACGGGTGTCGTCAATTGTTTCACTTCAAATTGACCAGTTTAACTTGAGTTTTGCTATAATGGACGAAAATTGAAAAATTATATAATTTAATATTTAATTACTGATGAAATGTGATTCCATTTGTTTTGTAATTCGATGTTTTGCTGTATTTCCCACACCACCGAATGGATCAACCCCCCATAGTTAGAGATATTATCTTTATTACAATAAATACAGAATATTTTTTTAATATATGAAGACGTTCACACAAACGCAGCTATTTTGCATGATTTAATTTTCACTGGGTTCGTGGAGTTTTTTACTTCCATTTTTATTAACATAGTTTGTTTCTAAACGCCTGAATTTATTAATTATTGAAAATAAATACAACAAAAATTGACAAAGTAGTATTAAAGAGCGGTAGTAGCTCAGTGGGAGAATGGTTGCCTCTCCATTTTGGAGTTGACGGCTCGAAAACAGACCCGGGGGTCTACTCATGTTCTCCGCCCAAAACAATTACTGTCAAGAAAATAATACTCGACCATATCAAAAGATAATATCAAGTATGAAGCTTCATTCGCATCATGCATCTTTTAATTTAGTGGAGTATTACTTATTTGATAGTAATCGTTTTGGACAGATATCGGACGAAGACCGGGACTAGGCGGGGGCCTAGTCGTCTCGGGGGCCTGGTTCGGTTCACGAAAATAACCCCTGTTCGTATGATCGTAAGAAGATGTATACACCGACATACGATCGTCACAATACTGTCCGCTTACTTATTGCATTTTATGCTTCTTAAATACCTACTCCTTTCATTTCTGTAAAGTTACTTAAAATATCTTAAATTTTGGACCTCAAACTCAAAAGGCCGTAGCGTCGTAGGCGCCTTAACCCCATAGGGCTTAAGCGATAAAATTACTCAGCTGAATAAGTCACAAGTATCATTAATATTAGAATCATACCTAAGAAAGTAGCGGACGGTGAGCTATATGCCAAGTATTCCTTATTAGAAGCCCAGGATGGGAATTCCGATTGCTTGAGTGCACCGGAGTCGGCCTCTTCACGTTTCCAAGGCAACATGGTTTCTGTTGCAGTCGGAGTAGCGACACGTGCTTGCTCCGCCACGGTCATATACGTGTATGAATCTAGAAGAGATTAATAAATAATTATAACTTACAAAACTAACGACTTCAAACTAACGAAATCAAAACGAATCATGTACCTACGCGTTCTATGAGACAATGTCACCCTATTGCTGTTCCCTTCCCAAATTATAGTTTTCTATGTAGAGCTAGCAAGAGCTTGGATAGTGTGCTTGGGTGTTGATATATTCAATTGTAATATTGATGCGCTAAACGTAAACTCACGGACATTGTAACTAGCGCAGGTATTGGGTTGTTATATTTATGTAAGTGCATGTTTTTAAGAAATACTGTTTATTGTTTGTTTGTTTAATGCTCGTGTTTGATTTGTCTGAAGATTTAGATGGAAATATGTAATATGTAACTGTATGTTTCTTTTCCTGTTTTTATTAAATGTAAGAAGGTGTTGGTTTTCCAAGAATAAATATATATGAGCCCAAACACAAAGTAGTAGCCCCTATACACGACTGAGGAGTTTTTTTCATATCTCTGCCATTTCTAGCGTCAGAACAGCTCTAGATCACCATAACATATTATTTTCATTGGAATTACACGTCATGTTTTAATGAAATCGGTTAACGGAAAGTGGGTGAAATTCATCGCCAAATTTTCCACCATTGAAAATGTAATATTTCTTCTTTTCCAACAACTGAATCATGTCGGAACACAAATGTCGGAGTAATCGCGTAACATGCACACACTAAAAAAAATACAAACTTCTTACAAAAGTAAAGTAATTATGCTGCCCTTCTGTTATAACCAACGCATTTTCATTTCGGTAAAAAAAAATCCTGACAATGAATAATGTACAATCAGGATTTGCTAATGGCCTTGAAAACTACCTTAAAATGAAGGAATTGTGTACAAATAAAATTGTAGTGTTGCAACTGTCGTAACATCTTCATAACTGTAAATGGGCCATCCTGTATAACAAATATATATACTTTTTTTAAATTAAGTACTTTAATTGGTCTTCTGCAATATTTTCCAAATGCACGTTAGACATGTTACCTTTTTAACGACAATTTAAGCAAAAGTGGAGCGTTCGTAAATATTGTATGATAAAAAACCTACCTCAAAAGTCATTCATCTACTGGTCGAATATTTTCTTCAAATTCAAATGTGACCACTTCTGAGGTACCCTCTTTCCAACAAAAAAAAAGAATCATCAAAATCGGTTCACAAATCGCGGAGTTATCACGTAACATATATATAAAAAAAAACATATAGTCGAATTGAGAACCTCCTCCTTTTTTTAAGTCAGTTAAAAATTAGATGCGGCGCGACCGCTTCGGCTCTTTCATGAACGTCTAATTCGAAGGCGCCCTTAGGAGGCTATAGTTATACCTATCTATTACAAAATTAAATTATAATCAAGTTTATATTAAAATGCACTTACCTGTATCTTCTGAAATTCTTCTTTCGTCTTCTTCTAAGATGTCTTCATTAGGAACTAAAAGAGAAATATAATTTTTTAAATATATTTGCCTCTAATTAAAATTAATATACAGGTCTAATTGGACATCTAATGATCTAAATAATTATGAGGACATTTTCTTTTCATGCTAAACTAATTTGAAATGTTATATTAATACTGGATGAACTTGGATATAAAATTCTAAAGATTTTAAAGATATAAATAGAAAATTTTCTTCTTATATTACCAAATTAAACTTTATTACCTAAATCAAATAAATATCAGAAGTAATGGTTAAAATTTCAAACGGGGTTAATTCTCGAAATTCAATGTTTGGTATGAAAACCATAAGGTGCCTTGAACCGAGAAACGGTAGGTACTTACGTCACTTATGTATTCAACAAAATCTACCCCGTGGAAAATAAAAGAATAATTTTGAATATATTTTTCTTGAGACTTTTTTAAAAAGGTAATATTTAAATGAAGATTTCCATAGGAAAACAGCGTCAGCAATCGTATTTATTCCATTAATATTTCCTACGAGTATCATAATTTACTCATTTATTATTTATCAGGTTTGACACTAAACGCATGAGTATAAGTATTAATTTTTTGTAAACATTACGTCACTAAATATTGAAAACAATTTACAAGCGAAAATTAAATCAAAGAGGTGCATCATTATTGCTATACTAGGTATGTAACCACAATTTGAAAATGACAATAAAAAATTGTGCTTACTAACAAAGTAATTTGAACGTAAATTATGTATACATATACATGAACTATTTGCTAAACATAAATAATACTACCTTAAGATACGTAAGTATATAACTCTTGTAAGTATGTGTTTAACATGCAATCAAAACTCAAAGTCTAATTAAATCGATCAAATGCATACAGAAGCACCCGACAAACTCACACGTAATAACCAGCCATTGGAGAATTTCGAAACTAAAAACCAATAATTTTGAAATTTAAAAATAAAAAGAAAATGGAAATGTAAATTTTCAGTCATTTAGACACGCATTGATGATGTAAATTTCGTTTGTTATTAAACACATACCAAAATTATACGTGGATCTGTCCCTTCTCCACGGTAAGGATTTCTCAACAGCTGTAGGCAGAATTTCTTCAGGCGTTTTAGCGTACTGCTTGACTATCCTCGCTTTCAGCGGATTGAATCCAGGTAAGTTAGCCAGCTGGTTTATAAGCGAACTACTATTCTCTTTATGCGAGGACGTAGGACTGACTTCTTTACATCCAGCTGATAACCAACGTCGGTCGCGAGTACCGTTAGATTGTGGTGCCACATGAAGATTGCCAGAAGGGAAGAAAACAACAATAAAACACAAACAATGTAATAAACAAGCAGAAATTAGCGAGTGAGGATACCAAGGAATTCATGGACGTTAATTAGAAATTGGGTATTTGTGGTAGAAACAGTTTATATAGAAACCAAATTTCAATTAAAATCAATAATAGATGTTACGGAGAATATGAAACAAAGAAGAATGATAAAGGAGAAGGTAACTTATCAAATTTACTCGGCATGCCACCACAAATATTTCTCAGCACATTCTCGTAAGAGGATTAGCCATGTCAGTAATGAAATTTTAGCATAACGATCGTAAATACAGTTATTATATTCAATAAAACGTTTTGTACTTTCCAATGTTTCATTTTTAATCTCTAGACAAAGTGCGAGAGTAAGTAAAAGGTAAGTTAGTAGACAACATCAATACTATTGATTACTTTTGAATACATACGGCGCTTCAAAATAAACATTATGTCTTATTTTTATTTCAGAAATTAATTACGCAAAAAGAACTTTAACAGTCAAACGTGTCAGATCAGCTTTATAAAGTCACCAAAACAAGTAACAAATACAAAAATAGGCAATTAGTAATAAAAAGTGTTAAGTCAGTATATACAACGTTTTTACGAGATGAATGCAAACTTAGGAAGCCGAGCAGAATCTCACTCATAGGGTACACTTGTGTAAGTGAGTTTTTAAACTAGCCATGTACATAATCATTTACTTTATGAAATCATGTCGTAAAAACTATAAAGCCGTAATGACCACGCAATATCTGTAAAGGACTTTTGTATTCAAATGTAAACAAAGGAGCAGCACACACGTTGTTTCATGCAGAATACCTACGCGGGGATTTTGCAGTGAAAGTAATACCGCCATCGTCGCCGTCGCGACGCGGAACCTTCATCAGACTCTCGTCTTCTTGAAGAACTTCATCTATGTAGTCTGAAATCATCCACTCTACATTTAGCCTAAATTTTTAACTAATCGTCTAATAATTCTTTCTCAACTAACTCGTGTACGGTGCAGAAAATATTATCAGTTCAGTGATAAACTAAAATGTAGTGTCACCTATTTAACGTCTCGTTTTATGTTACATAAAATATTTGCAAAAGAAGTTTTAAAATTTATATTTTTAATCTAGAACGTGGGCGTTCAAACATGCATTTTGAAATAAGTAAATAAAGACACTAGTGCTTGTACAAAGTGATTATAAATCGCTAATATTTAGTCATATACGATACAATCATAATAATTAAGTGCCACTGTGGATTTCATTCTAAACTTAGTAAAAACAAAGCATGTGCTTTGCAAAATAATGAAAATAATGAATCTCGAAAAATATACAAAAGAAATAAAAACAAATACTTGCACCCACACGTGCATGCGATCGACACTCGTGATTTAATAAAGAATTAAAGTAAGTACCTAATCTATAATATTTTTTTTTACCGTGCGTGAACTGTTTGGCCGAACCATTTTGCTGGAATTCTGGGAAAGTCACATGGTTTTTGCCATCCTGAAAAAAATTGAGCTTAGTAGAGTACACATGATAGATGATGCGCTACTAATGGCGGAAGAGAAAAAAGATTATTGGGATCGTAACAAGCCGAGACCGCATCTACCGGAAGTGTATGTCTTCAGCTCACAACGGAACAGATTTTAGAATTAGTGACATTCTTAGTATATTCTTGAGAGCAATTTTAGTATAAAACTTAAATTAAAATTTAAAAAGCCACAAAATGTCAATACATCCGTAAGCTAACAACTTGTTAGTGGTCTGCAGACTGCTCTAGTTGCAACTTCCGGTCAAGGTATTTTTTTGGACCGATCCGGTAATTGAAAATAAAATAAATATTTATCGTCACGTTCGGTTCGGGCTTTCAGAAATGACCTTTTGAAATCTTGGGATTATTCAGACTCCTCATGTTAGAGCTTACAAAATATTTATTTACATTTCTTTATGTGTAGCCTTTTATTTTATACATTCATTGTTTTATATATTTTATATGACGTATTAGTGTATCATCATTTAATATAATATTATAAATCGAGTTCTTAGGTTTTCGCGATTGTTACACATAGGAAATGAAACTATTTTTCCGGATTTAAATCGCGTATATTTGTTTTTTCAAACAAACCGACGTTTCGGGCCCTCATGGTCACGGTTGACTGAGGTGGTACAGTCTTCAACCAGTTATGTCTAATATTAATGCAAACCACCCTATTTTTTTCACTATAGTTACAATAGTTATTAATTAAATACCTTATTTTTAATTTTACAAAGAAAACATTCCAATTTACGTTACATTAAGTTTTACAAATTATTTTATTGAATGAATTTTTATTAGGTTTAATTTATTATTAATTATTAATAGAAATTAGAATAAACTAAAACATATTAATTAGTACTGCAGTCTTATGTCTGTTTGGGATTTTTCATTAGAGGAAATACTGGATCCCAAACTGGTGGTACGGAGAAACCATCTTCCCTGTTGAAATTAGGATGTTTTTTAATTTCAATGGCCTCTCGCAGCATCCTGTGTAGATAACGGACTTCTTTTGCAAGGACCTGGGGTTTGTCAAACTTCATTGAATGTGTAGGTTTATCCATGACATGCTCGCAGACTGCAGACTTGTTTACGCGACGGTGTTTGACATCAGCTATATGTTCTTTGACGCGGGTACAAATACTTCGCTTTGTTTGTCCAATATAATATATAATATAATATATGGGGTTTGTTTGAAAAAACAAATATACGCGATTTAAATCCGGCAAAATAGTTTCATTTCCTATATAATATTATAATTTAATATTATGTATTCATGTGTACATTTGATATAAGAAATTTATTCTTTAATTATTGAGTATGTAGCATTCAATTTCATGATTTATTAGATTTTATTGCGGACTCAAGAGTCAACTTTAATTTCAATTATTCAAAGATTAGCTAGAAGAAAACCCTCTATAGGATAAGCTCGCCTTTGTACAATAAGGTTCTATTTCTTTGTTAAAAAATTGTAAGTAATTTTTGTTGTACAAAAAAGTGTTTACATACATTTATTTTATGATTAAGACTCTAACAGAGAAAAGAGCTAATGATCTTTAAACAAGCTAAACAATATGTTCTTCAAACATAGCTAAGAACCATCCCGATTAAATTAGCCTTCAAATAAAAAAATACTGCTTTGAAATCAATCTCTGGTTCAGAGCTACGTTACTTACTCCTTTTTTCAAGACAGGGCAAAAAATTAGTCATCACTGCTAATACTCAAAAATTTAAACAGTGTAAAAATCGAGTAAAGCGCGTATTTATGTTTTTTTTGTTTATAACCGAAATAAAAGTGTCATATACCTAATCGATTGGATTATTGAAAATACGCCAATAACAAGAAACAAGAGGGTTCATGGGAATACTATTATTAGATTAATCTGGTCAAATCGTTGACATCATTGTGCTATTATAAGCTAAAACAGAAGAAGACTAACCCATGTTTACAAGACCACGTCCGTTAGCTGATCAAAAAAGGTATCAAGATACACAATATCAAAAAAGGTTACTACACTGCCTGGGCTCCAATTCTTCTAATTTTAAATCATGGTCGATAGTATCAATGGCAGGATTTTGTACGTTTGGTATTCTGTTAAAATTAAGAGTAGTGGTTTGCCAATGTCTAGTCATCGAGCTACCATTCCACTACCATTACTTTTTTGATATTCTGCACTTCAATGATGACTTTTTTGAGGATAGCAATTAACAAATTTTTTTTTTATAATATGAAGTGACGAGACGAACAAGTCTTGCGCCTGATGGTACGCTATACGCCCGTCTATAACAGTTGCAGTGCCACTTAGAGATTTCAATCCCAAAGATCTGAGAGGCACTGCTACTGCGACCGTCACCCTGGGACATAAGTTGACGGGTCCCACGTGCCTGTGATTTCACCAAATTAAACATCGCTGCATACTTAGCAATTTCCATAACAGTTTTGGTAAGGCAACATCGATAGTTACTAATTGAATGAATGAATGCCATCACTGCCCTTCCACTGACGTTCTATTGAGACTCGACTGCCCTTAAATCCCTTAATAAATATAAATTAATTTCTTGTTTCGCCATGATTGTATCTTTACCTCGGGTATGATCTCCACAGCGACATTCCATCGAAGAGATTCTTCCAAAAATAAAATACCTAACTGCTACCTAATTGTTGACGTTCTCGGTCAGTATTAACCGATAACATACATCAAAACTGACACTGGCCAAAGTCTAGTGGCCGCCATTAAGGAAATATTAATAACATTGAGTCAACAGCCCTTGCAACTAGATTTTAGCAGAACAACAAATATTATCATAATTGAATATAATCTCAGTGGAGTTACAACGGTCATTGTATGTGTGGTTTCAAGAAAAGTAGGCGATTTGGAGCTCTGTAACAGGTTACTTTGTTGTAATTGACAATTTGTTTAATCGACTCGGACATTATTAGCAAACAAAAAACGTTTACCTGCTTTCCACGTTTGCTACGCTTGTGGTGATGTTTTCTGTCACCAACGAGCCGCCGAATGTTCATGTGGGTTTTGTAGTTGACTTGCGTGCCGAGATCTTTATCGTTCACAGCGTGCCGGCTGTAGCTTAATCGTCGATGCTAAATGGAATACAGACAATTTTATAGTCAAAATCACATTTAAAACAAAAACTTTTTCATTTGCTCTTTTGTTATTGTTAAATTGTTAACGAGTACGATTCAGAGTTGCCTGAAGGATGAGCTTAAAAGTGAATACTACCCCAGGTCGAATTTTAATTTTTCCCAAACTAATACATTTTGCTCGGGTCGAGCAACAGGGACACTGACTTCATTTCGGAATTTATTTTTTTTACAAACAAAAAGCCATTTCAAAAATGTATATCATATAGTATACATACGTATTCTCTTTAGTTCAGTTGATATAAAAAAATGATATGTGTGTGTTTTCTTGTAAAATTTCGAGGTAAGTTTCAGGTTTTTTCTATAGTGAGTATTTTTAGGAATCGTGTTTTCACACCGTATAGTAATCAGTGTATATCCTCAATTGTACTATATATTTTTCCCAATGTGATAGATTCAACTCTTTCACTGTTATGTGGAATCAACCAAAGTCATTTGAGGTTGTATAGACTATTAAGAATGATTGAGAAATAAGCGTTATAAATAAGCTTTACGGCTCAGCTTTTGAAAAAGTTGTAGCAGTGTTTGTATGTTTGCCCAAAGAACAGTAAATATTGTAGTACCTACAACGTGTACTACTCTACGTGTTCTACGTGACGTAAGTGGTTACGTAAATGTATAAACCAACTTATATTTAATTGATGTAATTGACAAATGAAATGAAATCTCAAAAAGCAATAAAGTTATGAATAGCCGTGTAAAAAGAGAATAGGCGTTATATTACGTGAATATTGAACCATTTATATAGAAATAAAATTATACAACATGTAACTAAAGCGGTGGCTACATTGACAATTTCTGTGCCTACATCAGATTAAAAGTTCATTCTTCGACAATTTGCATAAGTTTGTATGCAATGTCATAAAATGTTTGTGAGAATTTTTGAAACTGGTAGAAACAAAGTTGGTTTAATGACAGTTAAGTGCTTCATCTAAAATTAGGACTTTAATGTAGAGCGAGCCGCTAGTGCCCATCTTTATGATCAACACCGTAATGACACCTGTGAAAAGTTGGACCAATTTGAAAATTATGTTTTTTTTTAATTCTAAGTGACGGGACGAACAAGTCGTGCGCCTGGTTGTAAGCGACACGTCTGTCCATATCAGCCGCAGTGCCACGACGTGCTTTAAATCGCAGAGATCTGAAGAGCACTGCCACTGCGCCCGTCACCCTGTGACATAAGTTAACAAGTCCCATGTGCCTGTACTATCGCCATGTAGCAAGTTTAATAAAAAAATTAAACAAATTTTTTTTTATATCTTTTACATAAATACTTTCTCTAATTATACAAATACAAGGTTGAAATACAACAAGATCTTGCCGCTCTACGTTACCGCAAAGCAAGCAGCAGTATGCTTTTCTTATTAACCGACTTCAAAAAATTAGGAGGTTCTTCGTTCGACTGAATTTTTTTAATGTATGCTACGCGATTACTCCGACATTTAAGAACCGATTTCGAAGATTCTTTTTTTGTTAGAAAGTGGGTACCTCATTAGTACTATCATATGAATTTGAAGAAAATATTTAATCTATAAGGGTAGTAAATTAGGAGATGCATCCAGTTTATTGGATTTCACTCACTTTTTTAACGGATTTCGAAATTTGATTTTGAAATTTGGCAAATAATGTAAATCCACAAACTTTTGAAGTCGGTTTTTCTATTTAAGTTGACAATACAGCCACGTGTAACATCAATATATTGACTACCAAGCCACATTTAACATCAATATAACACCTTTCTCAAAATTGTTACATACACATACACGTCTATACGGTTTACATAGTTCCTCGGCTAAAAGGTGGTGAATCTTTGCGTCTGTCAGGTCTTTCTTGCTAGGATTGTATTCCAATTCTTGCATATCTATGTTCCATGTCGATGAGTCTAATTGACTGAAGCTAGGGCTGAAAACCAATAGTACACAAAAATTTCAGAAATCCTACACAAATTGTAAACACATGTGCACACTCATCAAGTGTCTAAGGGATCAAGCACGGTTTTGCTAATTATTGAAAATAAGGTGTTTTAATTATTTTTCAAATTCAAATTATAAAATTGACCAAAACAATTAATAGGTTTTAAAAAAAAATTATTGCAACACCTGATTTTCAATCATTGGGAAAAATGTGTGAAGCACTAAACACTTCTGATGTATGTACTACCTAGAAATACCTAAAAAAAATTGAAATTAATGTTTAAATACCTTTTTAGTAACTTAATTCTTGTAATTGTGTATGTACAGCACTTCAACGAATCGATCGATCGACTCCTCCTACGTTGTCTATAGTAAGTCACAAAAGTTGATGCATTTTTTCATAAATAGCTTTATTTGTATGTAGCACTGTTATATCCAGCAGTTAAATAATAAAGTACGAAAAATAATACGTATAATAATATAATAATAAGTAAGTATGTATCTTTATGTAATTGCAATATATCAAGAATAATATGTACTATGCTCATTTTAGTATTTTCAATTAATTAAATGTTCTCCTGTGAAGTTGTGAATTTGGGTTTACGATTCTTTACGTCGGAGGGATCGATATGTTCGGTTCAAAGAACGGAAATGCAAAACGCTCGCAGTGAAGCAGTACAATACAAAAGGAAAGATTCTACAGTCCACCTCCAAGGTTTATTACTTAATCTAAGAAAGCATCAGGTGGTCCTATTTGTACAGTATTGTCCTAAGATACCCGACCGCTTAGCCGACCTTTTGATTCTAAGAGCCTTCTTACACATTCAACAGATAAGTGTGAAGGAATTCTAGCTTTTTTCATCAAAATCAAAATCAAAATTTGTATTTATGTAATGTAATTAAAGAACAAATTGCCTTAAAAAGTTTTTCACAACGTCATTCACATATGATGCAATAAGGAAGTTATATCGAAATGAATTTTACGGCTCGCAGGTTAAAGGTTAAGTTTGTTTAACACCTTTCTTCACACTGATCTACTTAGAACTAAATATTCAGGTATCTAAGAGCGGCTACACACGATGACTTTTAGCAGCGATGCAAACGCAATGCAGTCGCTAATCATCTATCTTTACACACGCGCAACTTTAAGCAGCAATGTAAACGCGATGCAAACGCGCGACTGCTTCGTTACAAACGCGCGATTCCATCGCTACACTTGTGATTTTTTGCGATTCCTTAGATGCAATCGCGCGTTTGTATCGATGCAGTCGCGCGTTTACATCCTCATCATCATCATTACAAGTTACCTAAAAATTGCCGTGTGTAACCACTCATAGCTGGGCATTAATTGTAGGTACAGCCCCATATCTTTCCACATTCGTTTTGATTATGGTAACCCTCTCTACCGACCCTTAGGGTATACAGGAAGGGCACTATGACCTGTGCGAGCGAATCCGTACAGGGATCATATATGACACGGTCTCTTCCCGTCGCGCTCCGCACACTAACGGTTGCCACCGCTGAGCCGCGGACTCTTAAGTCGACTACCAAATCCCCTTATTGGTGGAGGAGCTGTAAGGCACGCTCACTTCTCGAAGCCGAATGAACGGCGTCTCTCCAGTTCCTAAATTCGACCGGAAGATGTCTGGCCGACTGTAGGTACGTAGTCAATTTTGATACAAGTCTAGTAATTTAAAAAATGTACTCACCTCGCGTTGAGATTAGCATTAGTATAATTCTTAAATATAGCCGACATGGATTCCGCACCAGATATATTACCTATAGTAGACGCATTCCTTTGCATATATTCTATGGCATCCTTCATAGCCAATTTTGAATACGTTTCTAAGATTTTTGGTTCCGCACCCTGAAAATTTCAACAACATTTGAGCAATAATGCTTGACCAAAAATATCTTAAAAGCTACAACCCAAGATTTCTATACACCAGGGCCCCAATTCTACTAATTTTGTTGAAATCCCTGCTCATTGTAATTCCATTGAGATTATATTGCAATTATGTTAATATATGTTATTCTGCTAAAATCTAATGACAATGGCAGTTGAGTCTCATTAGAGTCTCAGTGATGGCAGTCATTCATTCAATCACTAATGATCGATGCTGCCTTACTAAAACAAATTTAACTTACTAAAGCAAATTACTATGCATGTTAAGACATCATTTAATCAGAAATTTGGTCTTCAAATTAAATAAGTATGTGTAATATCGAGTTCTAAGGTTTTCGCGATTGTTACACATAGGAAATGAAACTATTTTTCTGACTGACTTGACTATCCGTCAACCGTGACCATGGGACCTGTAAAGGGTCCGAAATGTCGGTTTGTTTGAAAAAATAAATTTACGCGATTTAAATCCGGAAAAATAGTTTCATTTCAAATATGTGTAATATTAGTAACTACGCCATCAGACGTGCCATTGCAAAGAAAGAAAAATTGCAACGGTATCCTCACGAGAGAATTAAATGTAGGCTATACACATATTTCTTCCGGCCTGAGAATCGAACTCAGGGCCTCTGCATGGCAGTCCTGCATGGTAACCGTTCGGCCATGGAGGCAGTTAACCAAGTTGAAAAGTGGCTCGATGGCTAACCATTGATAAGCCACTACACTTAATTTTTAGCAGAATGCCAAACGTACAAAATCCTGCCATTGGTACTCTATCGACAACCAACTGAGGTTTTTTTTAAAATTAGTAGACTTATAGCCTTGGGATGTTCGGTAATTATGCTATCTAATAACTTACTTCTCAAAACAACTTAACTCATATATCGTAGCCTTATAAACCCAGCCAGCTATCGCGTGTTGTATAATACCACTACTTCTACTGTCTGACATTGAGCTGAAATATCAATGCCACAGGCCTCTTTTGCTTTAAGCAGTTAGCCTGCTGGTATTTTTACATAAGAAACTGACATCATAACTATACATATCTCTACATCCAAGTATATGCTACACAAATGACCGAGATAGTGTTGGACCTACTAACATCACGAATTAGTACAATTCTGGATAGAATTCCCGTCATGAAAAGAAAGTATTTGGCTGGTAAAGTTTTCGTTTTCTGTAGATTATTTTTATTTAAATGTAAAATACCAAAATATATGAATTAGGTACATACATTTACCTGATAATTTCTCAACAAAAACGGTCTTATAAACCGATTGTCGAATCTCTTGAACTTATCCCTTATGTGATGATTACCATGTTTACCTAAGATATCTTCTATTCCTGCCATCAAATGATCCATAAACTGAAAAAAGACGTTACACAGACAAATTTCATTATTCATGAAAATTGATGACAGAACATTTTATTTGGGCTGTATAAGGTAATCCCTATCGGGGCATTATTTTGTAATATAAATATTTTTAACACCATTAATGGTTTTTGACTACGGGATATATTAAAATCTCAAGTTTTCTTTACCCTGCGAGTGCATGTTTCTTTAACAAGTAACAGGTAGTGAGGTATGTGCTTAAGGTGATTTGTAGTCAGAGAAGACCCAATCACAAACAACATTTCTGAAATCATAACTTAAATTTACCCGTTCATGAATCCTCTCATTCATAGTTGGCTTTCGTTTCTCAGCAGTCTTAACATTAAGTATCTTGACAAGGGGCTTGATAGTGATGCCCTGGATGAAAACAGTGAAGTAGATCACCGCGATTGTTGTAGTGACGAACATCGGCTGTAGTTTCACTATACCAGGATCTATTAATAGCACCAATGCAAATGCAACAGCTCCTCGAAGACCTAAAATAATAACAACAATAAGTTCGGCCTACAATATTTCCATTTCTGGTCAATAGAATACGCAGCAATTTCCCCCAAATAATGATAACATTAGAAAAAATATATGACGGTAGCTGACGAGGTTCGGCAGGTCTGGCTATAATGAGACGTATATATGCCCTAGTTATGTCTGACTTTCTGCCAATCCTTGGAAGCAAAATTTAAAGGTAGTGGCAATCCAGACGCAAAACAACAAGCATCACCAACAGTAATTGTATTGTATAAAAATTCAATTATCTCACTCACCTCCATAAGACATAACAAATTTTTCGACTCTATCTAATTTGTGCAAACGAAACTTATTAGCTACTGCGCTAAAAATGTACACTCCTGAAACAAACATATTTATTATTTTAAACTAAAAATATATTACGTATGTGGGTAATTCTTACAAAATCTCGAAATTCTTGTCCTTTAGGTTTATAAAAAAAAAGTATTCAATTTTAGCCGTAAAATTAATATTTAATATCAAATTACAATCAATTGCTACTAATGTCTACATAAAATATTGATTAGTCTATTTAAATAAGCATAATAATAATAATATAAAAATGTCCCCAAAATCATTCCCTCACCATGTCGCAAGTTCTATGGAACTTATAAAATTATGATTAAACACGTTCTGTGTTTTAAAAATAACACATTTAAATTTTAAACAATCAATCGAATAAAATATGTTTTTGCAAAATTAAAGCTATCCTGTGGTAAATACATGATAAAAAAAATGTATAATGTAATATTATTCATGTCCCAACCAAAAAAATCACTCCCTCACAGTTTTACCTACACTCGATTTGTGAACGCATTTTTAATATCTGGTAAATGCATTTTGTAAGTTTTTAAGTGTGTAAAAAGTTTCTACTTCGAAAAGATTTAATTTAAAATTCTAAAAGTTACATTTTTGACACTCATTCCCTCACATCATATAGAAAGAAGTTAGGCATTTGATTTTATTTACTAATTATTCACTCAGACGAGTTATTGGTAACAGTAAACTTATACAAAATATGAAGTATAAAAGTAAGTTTATATCGCTATTTTTTGGTTTATTTTGATTTCGTCATTCCCTCACCGTCATCCCTCACCCTCAAATGTTCTAAGTGCCCTATATATTTTCTTGAAAGTCATTTATTTTGGGCACCGCTATAACATCAAAAAGTAACCATTATATCGTTAAAAACTAACAAACAAAACATAAGTAGTATGAAATTTACAAAAAATGAATACAATTTCTTCCTAAAAATGTTCATAAATATCGTAAACATGAATTTCGAAATTTTATGGGAACTGTCCATGTATTGATTATAACGTCCAGTATATTACTATAAAAACTGAAATAACTACTTTACATTTATTGTATAACAATATCGAAGAACCACAGTCTTTTTTTACTCAGCATCATCTGCAAGTTATCCCGTATTTTTGCTAAATAGAACTCCATGGAACGAATTGTTTCTTTTGCTTCAAGATTACATACATATATTTAACGCCCTTAAACTATTGAAGTAGTCAGATACACAGCCTTCCACTTGTATTTGCCTCATCAACACGTCAGTGCTTTCATAAATACTCATCGGTAAAGAGTACTCTCGAAGATTGAAAAATCTTTTAACTTTCAAAACTTACTTGTTAGTGTGCCCTTTAATTCTTTGTGTATCATAATAGTTAGCCTACGAGTATAGTAGTCCCACTGTTGGACTGAAACCTTCTCTCAGAGAGGGTTTCGGCTGTACTTCCCTCGCGAGATCAATGCGGATCGAGAATTTCACATACATTAAATTGTTTTGCAGATGTGTGCAAGTTTCCTCACGGTGTTTTCTTTAATCATATTTTATAAAGGAAAACATGGTAAATTTCAAACTAAATTTCGCACATAAATTCCGAAAAACTCTGAGGTGCTCTGCTTGAAAAGCGGTTGGTTATTTGTGTATACATACTTATAAGATAACGACTTACCTATAATCCGAAAGACCGAGCAGAACACAATAGTCAAGAGAACAAACCAAGTGTTCCAGTCGTGGTTATTGTTCACTGTGGCAACGCCAAGAAACATAAAGATGATGGTCTCTGACGAGGAAGAGAGCATCTTCATCGTATACTTTATTGTCGTATGAGACTTGTGCGATATATTCGCCTCAACATAGTTTTTCATTGTTATACCACAGAATGTTATACTGAAAAATTAATTTTTTTTTAATGTATTTTGTGTGTGTCGGTTCATTAAACTTAAGTGATTATTTGTCCAAATTTATATAAAAGAGCGTCAATCGTATAATACAGGTTGTTCCATTATCTAAGCCGGCTTGTTCCGTCTTATTTAACTGACAACCTTATGAGAAACGCAAATATTTCACATAAGTATATACTTCATTCGAACTCGAAAATGTATATGGATCTAATATAAATGTTGGTTAAATGCCATATAAAAATGTTTGAAAACTGTTTGATGAACATTGTTACAAAAAAAATGCAAAAAACCTTGATATATTTTTATTTACTGGCTGCTACGGCGTAGTCGACATAGAAAGAGCTACGACTTTTGCTCAATAAATAACGTAATAAAAGATCCAACGGAACTGCGCTACATCTGTAAACGACTTACGTTGAATTAATTGACTGCTTTATAGAAAGTGAAAGTACTTCCGTGTTACTTCAATGTAGATTAAAAATTATGGCACGTTTTAATAGTAATTATTATAAGTGACATTCATTCTAATTATGAGTGACATTAATATTAATGGAATTAATATAAGTGAGGTTTAAATAAATTCAACTTATTTATGTCAGTCACAAGATATGTCGTTGGAAGCCCAGAGAACGGTTGCAACCAAAAATGACGAAATAATTTTAAAACTAAGTTATTTAACACCATGTGTGATTAATTAACAAACTTCAAATGAAAACCATACTTAAATAAAATAAAAATCTGTAAACAGGGTAACTTGAGTGGAATTGAATACTTTCCTGACCCATATTTGTTACTCAATTGCTTACAGTAGGTAGTTGGCATGTCGTAATAAGGCATTGTTATAGTTACTGTAGGTTTCATTACGTTATATCGAAAAACGTTTCGTCTTTTTACACTTAATCTATAACTACCAGTAACCTAAGCTACCACTTAGTAAACTACATATTACATTGAAGATTCGTTTCATCTAGTATGATTAGACCGATAAACATTAAAATTTAATCCGATATAAATATCGGACTCTTTTCCCGACAGTACTTATAATCTAAACACATTCCAACCCCTCCTACGTAAGTCGTAAAAATAGATAAATGTTAATTTTTTTTCAATAATCACTATTTTTATGTGTATTACAAGCATTCAGCAGTAAAATTATAAAGCGTAAAAATAAAGACTGCATCAAATTTCACTGCACTAATATCGCAATTGTTATGACAGCAGCACGACATGACAGTATGCTCTACGTGATCTTTTGAAGCGAATGCTCAGTTTTTTTATATAAACTAATTTTATTTTTATTTTTTTTATAAATAACGCACACACTCAACATTGCCCCGGACTAGGGAAACCCTGTGTCGCGGGTGCCATGGACACACACATAGACAACCACAAATTACACCCAAACTCACGAGAGAAATAAATGTAAGCCATACAAACATTTCTCCCGGCCCGGGAATCGAACCTGGGACCTCTGCGTGGCAGTCCGGCATGGTAACCGTTCGGCACGGAGGTAATTCTTAGTTGTACCTTTAATTCAATTTAAAAAATAATTTAATTTAATTCTTAATTCATTAATAATTAAACGTAAATTTTATGTAACGTCATGTGAAATTATTAATGGGTTTATACCATTGACTTACAATTATATGGACGTCGGGTCCGCGCTAAAAAGTGTCCGAACTTATAGGGCGTTAAAATCGTATACAGAGCGTCATTCACGCTTTAGTCTTCGTTTGTTCGACTGACAGCGAATCAAGCAAAATTAGACAGTACTGCGATGACATTAGAATTTAAATTCAACGTTTTAGCTTTTTCATATTCCTTTACATGTCACTATGTTTAAATAGGTTGACTTGGGACCTTTTTTTCGTGGTTTTTGCATTAGACCCGTCGTCCATTTATTTGTAAGTCAATGGTTTATACCCAAATAAAGAAACACTTTATTTTTTTATTTTGTACTCATTTTAGACCTTTCAATACTTTAAAACATTAACCTGTAAAATTGGGAATTTGGACTTACGATTCTCATATAGGAGGGGTCAATTTTCGGATGTAACAATACATTACGACAGATTAATATGAATGAATAACTTACGCTAAAATCCCACTCATGTGGAACATCTCAGCATTTAAGTAAGACAAATAAGCCATGACAAAGACGAAGATAGGCTCAATGACGCGGACTTCATGTGTGAACCTGGTCACCAGTCCGGTGCCGAATCCCCATACCACGCCGATACAGGTCCCTCCAATTGCCACTACCAGGAACGAGGCGAAACCCGCTAGGAAGTCTGTGTATTTTAGATGTGATGGCCCTATTTCTCTGTGAGCAAGAATACTTTTTATTAGTAATATTTATTTTAAAAAATTACAACTAATTGCCGAAAGCATTAGGGCGCATTTATTAGTCACGAATTTCTTCCACTCAGACTTCTACTCATATTTCGACCGCGTGGCTGCCGCGCAGTGACCGCGTGCATCTAACTGTCATGGCAAAATATGTTATATTTATATAGCTTTTACGTTTTAACTTAAACGAGCCTACCGGTCGCGCGGGCGAGACTGGCTTATCTATGGTTGTTTCCTAGGAATATAATTCAGATTCGCCATTAATATACGTGATAGCGTGGTTCTGGGCGATCAAAGCACAGCGGTCGGGCGCGAAATCTTTCCCGTCGTGTAACTCTGCCCTCGTAACGAAAAAAGGCACAACTATGCGTACTTTACACAGCAGTTGTGCCTTTTTTCGTTCCGAGGGCAGAACTGAGCGCTAAAGATCTGAGAAAAACCTTATGCTATTTAATAAATAAAAACAAAGAACATATTGTCTAATAAAATTTTATACACAGTGTCCGAATTTCTTAAATATAAATCCCTAATTGTCTTGTTTTTCATATTTGTAATGTATTCTGACGTTATTCAAATTATTATTATTTTGACATCTAGCTCCATTTTACAATTACTATCTTTAAATTTGACCCATATATCTATCACCGCGTATAAATTACTGATTGCCTTATTAAATCCATGTGTATTATTAAAAAAAACAACGGTTAAACCTGGTTTAGACTATTGAAGCGCATGTGAATAAATGTTTAATAGACCTTCAATTTGTTTGCCTAATGTTTGGCCGGACACAGTGAAACTTATTACATGCCAACTTCTATTCTATACAACCTGTGTTTTCACAAATAAATTAATTATGAAGTCTATATACTCACGGATTTTACAAGGTGAAGTGAGCATGCGGGAACATTAGGTTTCCCGCTATATTTAACTTTTTCAACGCGATTATCTGCTCGTGTGTAGATAAAAATGGAAGTAAATTAATTTGCTACTCCGCGAACCTAGTGAAAGTTAAATCGTGCAAAATAGCTGCGCTTGTGTTGAATATATTTTCATGCAAATTCAGCTATTTTACACGATTTAACCATCACTGTGTTCGCGAAGTAGCAAATTAATTTACTTGCATTTTTATTAACATGGCCTTCCGCAAAATAACATCTGAATCTATTAATTACTTTCGTGTGTAGATGTTTGCGTAAACATTAAGTATTAAACGTATTAAATACACGACAATTAATGATAATTTCATGTGAAATTACACGTTTATTTGTATAAAAAATAGAAGTGTTTGTTATATAGTCAACCAATACTGAATTGAAAATTATTACGATTTCATTTTTACATAGTATTAGCATTTATTTTGGATCTTTAATTCCTTTGTGATTAGCCACGTCTGCAAATTATCGATACAAAAACATTGTATCTTTAAAATAGCGTAACAAATGCGCGCGAGCTAAGTACTATTCAGCCCTAAATATTTGTAAGTGATGTTGAACTGCATACTATTACGTGGTTTATTTTTTTTATTTCATCGAAGAACGTACGAGAACGTTATTTGCCCGTACAAAAACTTAATGGTCGTCATTGCTCTACAACATACCAAAATATTGAATATCTAGCGATACGCAGTAATTTCACAAAGTATAAGTACTACTTACACATACCAATGAGGCCAACGCATACAAGCGCAACGTTGGCAGCTGGTATATAGATGTCAACGTTTATTGACGTGACTATCATTATTTGTTTCATTTAATCATTTAATAGCCTGTAGAAGAAACGTTTATAAACGTTCACATTACCGTATGAGAAAAATATCAGCCATAGTGCATAAATCGGCAAAAAGCACGATGCTTTTGCGAATGTGATAAGATTTGAACACCGTTAGGTGTTTCTCTCACCTAGTTATAGATACCTACCGTAGCACTAATATAAACACAATGTAATACTTACGCGTAAGTTTCAAACATATGATATAGCACGACAGTAACAGCATCATTCAACAATGATTCTCCGAACACCACGATGTACAGCACTTCATCCACGTGGATCTCTTCGAAGACGGCCAGAACTGCTACTGGATCCACTGCAGAGATCAAAGCCCCGAAGAGCAACATGTCCAGAAGGGGTGTTGTGCATCCAAACATGCCTGTTTGCCCGCAAGCCCATAGCGATGCCCCTGCAACCAAATACAATTGTCTTTTCTGTGTTCATCATCAACTCATGGGAGGCACGGGTCCTTAGGCGAAGGTTTTAGGCCATAGTCCGCCAAGTTGGCCCAATGCGGGTTGGGGACTTCACACGCTTTCTGAGGATTGTGAACCTTCTTCGATTTGAAGGTTTCATCACTATGTTTTCCTTCACCGCAAAGCTCATGGTAAATTTCAAAGTAAATTTCGCACATAAATTCCGAAAAACTCAGAGGTGCGAGAGGCTGGATCCGAACCCACAGCCTCTGCTTGAGAGGTGGTAGGTCAAACTATTAGGCGACTATGGCTTACGCATCTTTCATACATTTTATAAATAACTGCCATATTAAAATCTGCTTTCCGTAACAATAATGGTGGTGGAGGTCATTAGTGTAATACGTATTTTTATCAGTTAATATTTGTGATAATGAATTCTTGTTTCAATTACAAAAAAAGCTTTAATTCGATTAAAATATTTATTCGATTAATTGAAACATTATTTTGCATTGACACACTTACCTATGGTTAACGTGTTGAACACCGTACCCACAACCGCAAATAACAGTATAGTTCCTAGATGGTCGAAAAACAGTCTGTTTGGCATGAAATAACCGGCGTCCAAGATGATGGGCGGCAGCATATAGAGAAAGAAGGTGTCTGGAGTCAGTGGTTGTACGTGAACGCTATGAGTACTCAGGAGCAAGGCCCCTATGAGTACCCCCACGAAGATCAGAAGGCAAGACTCCGGAAACATCTTTGATAATTTCGGAGCCATATGAAAACCTGCCAACAAAATTTATAATAAATATTTTAACTCTTTCAGTGAATTCGTACTCTAACTTCTTTTGACTATTTCCGTGACAGTTGAGTGTCACAATAAATAAAAATGACTCAAAATTTTGTAATTCAAAATTTATATTAAATTTCAAAATTAAATGCCATCAAAAATATGTTCATCCTTGTAAATTAAATTATTAACGCGTGAATTGATTCTAATTGTAGAATGCGTGATAAAATGGACAAACGTTATTTTCGTGCCAAGTCGTATAGTAGTTTATATGATATATTTGGTTCGCATCAATTTCATAATGTTTTGAACAAAAGGCCAAAAAACAAAAACAATCCAGGATTGACAGTATACCAAGCCTTTTGCGGTGATGCCGAAAAAAAATCTGAAGGTAAAAATACACAGCCACACTTCATAACAAGTGAAACATACAATAGGTTGCATAAAAATTTAAGCTTCGACGATTTGAGACGATCTACAAGTACCATATTCTACGATCTAGACTATATAGCAAGAAAACAATCTCTTCATTGTTTCTTAGATCAGAAGTGTTCAGCACCAAAACAAAGTATTAAGTCTAATAAATCAAAGAAAAAAGATATTAATGGATTTCATGGCAAGTCTGACCTTATTGTGCAAGAATGTGCAACACAAATGCATCCTAATATTATTAGAGATAGTGCTGAAATTCGTGGCAAAAAGATGAAACAGCAGTTTCCTTGCGATTTTGTATTATCGTCAGAAATATTCTTAAGAGACAACGATTACGAAAACCCACAAAATACGAAACGGTATTTTGATAGAGAAGTGACAAACCAACAACAAAAATTTTGGTCTTACGCTAAATATCGTGCAGAATACGGAGATCCTATACCTGAAGAAAAAAGGTCTAAAAAGAAAGGACGTGAGCGTGAGCTCGATCGCGGAAAACGAGTTGAGGACCCTTGTCCATGTCAATTATTTTCTTATGCTTGCCCATGTACGGACCCAAAATCATTAAGGGAATTAGTCAAAAACAGTAAATCCTTAACAGCGACTGAACAAACTAGCACTACGAAACTTGAAGAAAACAGAGGTAAACCCCGAAAAGACAAGAATGACGTTCTATCCAAAGACAACAAATTAGTATGTACAAGCTTTGAATCAAGATTACCGCTCCCAAAAGTAGAGCAAGTTGTCCAAGCCGTCATAAATGACCTAAAACAAACATCTGAATCTAGCAAAGTGAAAAGTAAATGGGGAAGAAAAGGGCGTCTGATAATATGTCCACACTGTAAAGAGAAACTTGAAATCCAAAGCAGTACAGATGAATCATTGCACTATCACCAACAGGTGTCCACAACAGCAGCAGCATATACAACATTCAATAATAATAAGACTTCAAACAGAACCGGCAGCATGAATTCGCAAGAGGAAGACTACTGCTCTCATGATCCACCTTGTGAACTAATACCTTTATGTCAAGTAATTCCAGACAATTACCATAATGCGAAATTGAAAAAGACTCCAACGAAACCACGGGTTATAAGGATCACTAAGGCCTGTCGACATCATCCACCTTGCACTGTTGTGCCTTCGTGTCAAAGGGCAAATGTACTTAAAAACAATTGTGAATTCATTCCTCCATGCTTGCATCGACCCCGTTGTGTTAACTTGCCATTGTGTGTCCCTATTTCCAAAACATTTAACCTTAAAGACTTTGCCGGGAATCAAGTGGAATCTGTGGACAGTTGCAATTATTCGCAACAACATCAATGCAAACATAGCAGTCTATATCCCGGCTCCATAGAAACAGATATTAATCCACAATATAATTTCATTCCCCAAATACAAAACGCTTGTGAATTTGTTAATAGATACCAGTATCAATTAAATAATCCTCAACACACATCCGTGTATCCTGCAACTATTTTTACTCCATATAGAGTTGTTTCTCGAACCGAATGCAGTCTATGCAAGTTAACAAAATCATGTCAGTACGATTTGACAGTTTCCAAAATAGGACCTTTGAAGGAAAGCGCCAGTGACGCCGTAATTTTTATTAGAGACGTGGGTTGCCAGTTTCGTAATAGAACTTATTCGCCAATTGAATCCATCATCCCGTCAAAAACGTCGAGTGCCTCTTTTGAGTATATCAGTGATAGGAAAATGGGTAATTACTTTACGACTGTTCATACACTACGATATCAAGACAAATTTACTGCTCCCTCGAAAGTGTCACTTTGTTCCTTAACAACTTCTTTGAGTACCACCGACGTAGACTCGCAGTGCCCCTCCCATGGAATCCAGGCTTCGTCCGTCAAGTCTAGGAGGCCTACTGGTTTCACACCGACTAATACAACTCAATACGTTGCTTTCTCAACTTACAGTGATTTTATGACTTTTAATAGAAACAAACGAGACAAATCACACCCAGCCTTCCAAACATGCCCATTGCAATCTATGAAGAATACGTCCAAAGCCAAATCCAAGAAAGTGTTTTTCACACGACGTAGAAAAAAATCTAGAGGAAGCAGCGTAGCACTCAATCCAAAACAAGTTAAACATCGACGTGTTGCGTAATTATTTGAAATTATTTGCTTGTAACGTTGTTTGTATTTTAAATGGTTTGTTTAGTTCATTATTTTTATAATATAATACATGTAACATGATACAAATTGGTGATAATAAAATAATAAGTTGTGTATCACAAAATGCACCAAATGCTCACCTTGTATTCTGAACAATGCTCACATGAATTTGAATTTTTATTACCCGAGTTTGGAGGAAACCCCACAAAGCGAGTGTTCCCAACAAATTAACGGAAATTTGGAAACCATTCAGTTTTCAGCGAACACAGCGATTACATAACTTCAATTAATGTACAAGTAAGCAATTCGCTAAAACACGTGACTTAAAAACATTTATATAACATTTATGTACACGTGATGCTAAAAACTACGTATTGGTACGATACAAACCAATACGTAGTTTTTAGCATAACGTATGAGTCAAGAAAGAAAATAAACACGGAAAAAGAAGCTAACATTTAAATTCTATTTAAATTTGTGTTCATATCTACTGAATGTGTCATGTATACACATAGTTATGGGTCATTATTTCTGCCGCACCTTACTTCTCACTCTTTTCTGTCAATTACATTATTAAGTTTAGAATGTAAAAATTGTCAATATCGAAATTCGATGCTTGTCCTAGTTTACCACACCTTTGACTCTGGTACGGATTCAGTGCTATATACCTTTTTGTCAGTGCCACTATTGTCACTTAAATTTTGCAGTTTTAGACTAGCTTTCAGTATTTGTTTGTATTTTCACTAAATTATACCGATTTTTTGTATTTGCTTACAATTTTATAGGTCACGAATTTATAGGTCAAGAATCCTCAGTCGATGGACCATGTGACGTTATGGTTCACTTTCACTTGCAGATGATTTTTAGACAAACACGGCCTCTGAGGAATTTATTGTGACTGGTTTACATAATTATAAAAAAGACATGTATGAACGGCGGTGGCCACAATAGGTTTCGATATTGTGTTACAAATTGTAATATTGTAACATTGATAATATGAAATAAATTATTCTAATTCTAATCTATTCTAAAATTTCAATAATACAAGTTTACATTTTTGTATGCCAACAAGCGGTAAGATATGCTGCGCCATGTAATACAGACGGCAACACATCAAGGTACACATTGACGGATCTTGTTCCGTTGCACTAGAGGCGTATATCAAATCAAATGTAATCATTTATTGTGTACGTACGGCTAGAAGGTTTTATATAACATTGTAGTGTCAGTAAGTATTGCCAATTTTATAGCATACAATTTGCTTGGTGAAATAATTTAACAGTGTATTACTTTTAATTACAAAATGTCAAATCTTAAGTTTAATTTCAATTCTTAATAATATCGTACATGTCTTTGTTTAGTCGCGTAATTATTATTCGATGTTATTGTCATTAAATAATCGCTGACTTTGTAATATGCTTTCCTAGTCAATAAATTAAAAACACACTTTTTAGAATTGGCAATGTTATTTGTATCAAGGATATGATTTGGCAACTTATTGTACAATTTTGGCGCCATCGCACAAATATTTTCATGATAGTGTACTCTTACAGGAAACCAGTTTAATTTTATTGTGTCTTCGTGTACGTTCCACTTTGCTGAAGAGTGAAGGATTTTTCCGAACAAAAAGAACTGTTTCAAATATATAATATTGAAGGAACTTTTAACAGACTTAGTTGTTGAAAGTGTGGTATACTATCTATACAACACAATCCAATCAAATCGTATAAAGTGTATATCTTTACGTGTTGTTAAGACTGTACTAATAAAAAACTTAAAACTTTTATTAAACTATGTCTTATGGAAATCATACCACGTATTATCAAAGCGTTCTTTCATCTGCCTCCAAGCAGTAATGTGAACATAATTGCGTTTCGGTCTTGATGGGTAAGAGTTTTGGTGAAATAACATGCACATGAGTCTTGTCAATCATAAAAACAATTACGGTGTTTCATTTACTTTTTTTCTTCGGCAATTGCTTTGCCTCGGCAGTACAAGAATAGAACAATCATTTATGTCATGTTATCATTTAAAATATAATATCAAAACACAATATGGTCGTCATTGTTTATTGGTCATCTTTAATTTATATCCAAATCCACCTCTGACTTTGAGCAAAGCAGTTTTCTACGTTTGCAAAGTGGGAACGGTACTCGTCTATGTTAAGGTAAACAGAAAATGTTCTCCTTGCGCAACTTCCAGCGCAAACATCGAGCTCTACAATAAATTATGCCTTCCACTTGACGGGCTTGCCCACCAACAAGAATAAATTCGTTACATAGTTTTATACCCTTATATGATTTATTGCATCCTGGTAACTAAATGTACTATGTATTGATTAGATTCTATATATATAAGAGGTGTGTTATAAGTTTCATGCGATGATGTTACACAAAATACGTTTGGAGTAATTTAAACCAGAGCAGGTTTACAGCTATCTAGGTCTATTAGCTTACAATGTCATGTATTCACTATGTGAAATTTCAATGAAATAATGTATGTCATCTTTTGTGATATTACTATAAAAGTGATCTAGGTAATTTTGTTTTTTTTTTTTGCAAATCACATGTTTTGGACATTGGTCAGGGTTAGAACTTAATCTGAGTATAATTTATAAATTTTGTAATGTCCTCTAATTTGAGGTCTTTGTAGACGAAGGAATCGTAGTTCTGATGGTAAGCAACACGCTTGTCCTTACGGACAACAGTTGCAATTTCGAGGCACAAGCTCACTTTCCTTTTCCGAAATTAGTAATCTTCTTAAAAGAAAGAAAATACAAACTCATTTAAACGTTGGTCACTCTTTCTTTTGCAAATTACTTGGACATTGCTTTTACCAAGGGGAAAGGCACTAAATGTTGATATACAGTCATTGAATTACAAAAAAATATACAGCACTTCCTAGTTCGATTGTAGTGGTTTCATCTATTTGAAGAGTACATACCGCAACCTATTGTACTTAAGTTCTATAGCTTATCATTATAATGATGTACATTTTTATCTGTATAAATAAAATTATGAATATTTATTTATCATTTATTATTATTCTCCTTTGTACGTTACCATCATGATTTTTCTCTATATACTATTGCAAATAAACCCGCATTCTTGTGACCACTAATCGCGCTATTTTCTGGACTATAAGTGTATTTTATGAATAGGTAAATAATTTTATAACTTACCAATCTTTGCAATGCTCGCAAAGAATATCCATACGCCAATCAAAAACGGAGTTTCCACTCTGTAGAATTCAACTGAGGCAATTTTGAACTTCCTCTCCGACTTCGGTGCCTCAATCGCTGGCTCCACAGTCGTGGGGTCTTGTTGTTGTCGAAGCTGCGTGCCTGGGGGCTCACCGGGGAATGGGGCCACGGGTCCCATGGGCCCAAATCCCACCCCTGGGTACGTGGATAGACCATCGACTTTTATGGACGGAGTCTGTTTCGTAGTGCTCTGGAAAGAATATAATTCGTTATAAATCGATAGTTGTTAAATAACTGCAAAATAGGATACATTTTGTTGTTATTGTATTTGTTTAATTGTTAGTAATGTCTGGGTATTGCATGAATGTAGTAGTAGAATATACGTGTAACTACACGTATATTTTTATTTCTTTCCCACGTAGCAATACGCTACATTAATTATGTTAGAATAATAATAACACACACACTCAACATAGCCCCGCACTAGGGAAACTCTTTGGCGCGGGTGCCATGGACACACATAGACAACCACAAATTACACCCAAACTCACGAGAGAAATAAATGTAGGCTATACAAATATTTCTCCCAGACCGGGAATCGAATCTGGGACCTCTGCGTAGCAGTCCGGCATGGTAACCGTTCGGCCACAGAGGCAGTTAAACGAAAAAAAGGATACATGGAGCCTGAAGCTACGCCATAATTCGGAAACAGCTCGCAGCTACGCCATAGAAAGGTGTCTACACTCACAAGATAGGTTGTATTTTATACAATTAATATCATCAACGCATTTATACGTCCAACTGCTGGACACGGGAGTCTCCTGTCAGGCGAGGGTTCAAGCTATAGTCCGTCACACTGACCCAATGCTGGTTGAGAATTTACAAGTTTTTCCTAGGGTTTGGAACCTTGCGGGTTTCATCATAATGTTTTCCTTCGCCGAAAAGATCATGGCATGGTATGGTATTGTTTCACACATAATTTCAAAAAATACAGGGGTACGAGTCCGAATTCGAAACCACGGCCTCTGCTTGTGAAGCGGTAGGTCACAAACCATTAGACTTTCACGGCACAAATAATATAAAATATCTAAATTTTGTTACAGGATTTAAACTATTGATTTTCCATTTAAACGTTGAATGTTCAGGTAGGTTAGGTGCGAAATTTATGAAGAGCAATAAATGAAAATTATTTCAATGTCACCATTTCCATTACTTTAACACTAATATTAAATTCAAGGTTTCCAGCAAAACTGGGCAGGCATTTTAATTAACACTTCTTGTTAAATAAGATTATTTTGATAGTATGGTTGACTATACCACTGGTTGATAAATGATTGTAAATTTCCAAAGAATATAAACAATATTGATAGTTAGAACTATAAACTATAGAAATTTCTGAGTTTTAGTTGTCACTCTAAAGGTGACCGCTGTTGAGAGATCAACTTTAAGCTTGGTTTCCCCAGGTACTTAAGAAGACAAATGAAACCTCAATGGCAATGGGCGTTGTAGTGTCAAACTAAACTGATCACTAAGCGATTACCATAAAGTAATAAACAAGAATCTACTGAAATTTCTTGAAACAGCTTTAAGCTGCTTTCACGTTGCTATTATTTGGATAAACAGTATTTTCAAGTAAAGCCCTGTTTCGGACGAAGTGAATTTTAGAGAGTGCTGACTATTTCGTTTAATATTTATTTATTGTTTATATCATGTTTCACTACCATGATTTTAATATATTTTTGTAAAAATTTGTTATCATAATCGATACAAAGACCGACTACATAGAAAAAGTCCTTAGATCTGTTTTCTGTCCTTAAGTCTGTTTTTTTTTTTCATGATGATTTCAAGTGTCGGTACGAACAAGTCGAGCACCTGGTGGAAAGCGACACGCTTGTCCACAACAAATGCAGTGCCACTCAGAGCTTTAAATCGCAAAGATCTGAGGGGCACTCCTACCTACCCCGTCACTTTGATACATAAGTTGGCAAGTCCCATGCGCCTGTCACCAGCACCCTTATTCAAACCGGAACGCAGTAATGCCCACATTACTGCTTGGTGGTAGAAATAGGTAGCAGTACTTCCCTGGACAAACTCTTTCACGAGGAGCTCTATTGCTACCTAGACTGTTGTCATGTCGGAGCCGTCGCTTTTAACCAACTGAGCTACAGAGCCTTTAGTACTAACAACTCATAAATATATTAAATTCGCGATGTTTAAATATAAACGTTTAAACTTTATCATTTACGAGTATATACAAATTATAGTACATTATACTCACTCAAATAGTGTCCTATTTCAGTATTACTTAGCTACCGAAAACAAATTTGTACGCACCGTTAAAGACCTCAACTTGGGTCAAAGAGCCTTAATTGGAATAGAGGTCGCAGCCTATTCAGGACAACTTTGGCAAACTGTTTTTACGACCAATTACATTTCGCACTTTGAAGGTTTTCATGCAAAGCTTTTTACAAAATACCACAAATTATGAGAATTTTCTAATTTAAGTTTTTTGATTAATGATCTTTGGAAGTATACAAAAAAATATAACCGTCTCGTATAACCGCTTCCATTCGTGCCAACCCTTAAAAAACTTCCCCAAATAAGAGTTTTTTTTCTTACCCATTTTTATAAGTTAACTTTAATAAGCATACGTTAAGCATGAAAAAAATATGATAATATGATTTTAGTAGCAGTAGAGCTCTTTGTGAAAAAGTCATCCAGGGAAGTACTGACACCTTATTATTTCTGCTACCAAACAATAATGTGAGCATTACTGCGTTCCGGTTTTGAAGGCTAGAAGGTGCTGGTGAAATTTTACCAGCACCTTCATCCCAAGCTTCAAGTCCCATGTATATGTAATTACAGGTACATGGGACTTGTCAACTTATGTCTTAAGATGATGGTCGCAGGTAAAAACATAATTACTTGGGTCATGGTATAAATACGAGGGTTATAGTTCTATACTTAAGTAGGTAAAATAGTAACTAATTGGCTCTTAAACCTGAATTATGATGATACTGAAAATCTATTTGATGTAATTTCTTAGTTGATGTGATATAATATATGAATAGGTTTCCAGAATAGTGGATGGCAGTTTTTGTTGCTAAATCCGATCCCAAGTTATTTTTGAACGTAGGGCTATCTGGTGCCTAATTGTAATCGGTGCGTTTTGTCATTTTTTATTTCACTAGTAATTTTTGATGCTATAAATATCTAAGTTGCAGAGTCAAACAAAACAATAATGTTAGAATAAAAGTAAAGTTTAACAGTCAATGTTCGAACTCTTATATTTTTTCTCATCTCATCAAACACGTCCACCGTTCATGAACTCGTAAAATTAATCATCTGAACCTACGCAGGTCGCACATTCACTCTAATATGTATCCACATTTACAAGCACTTCGCATATCACTTGCACTTTCACTCACTTTCACATCCTAGTTTAGGCTCCAGCCTCTACAAATTTTCCTGTCATGTTTTTTACTTTAATATCTCTTATGTTTACTTAAGTTGTTACAAATTTGTGGAGGAAATAAAGAATTTACTTACTTACTTACTTTACTTACTTACTTACTTAGGTAAATAGGCTGACTTTATAGATGATTCTCAAACTTTGAGTATGGCATATGGTAACAGACGATTGGTCCGTAAATTTACAGTACTCGTATAGAACCTGTACCTACCCATCATACTTTTTGATCCTATGTTATTGGTGATATTAATATTGTTGTAGTATATTACTTTTTAACATTCTCGAAATAAAAGAAATGTAAATAAACATCCAACCAACAACAAAATAAAAGAAAAACCTACAAACCCCAACCACTTTTATCCTTAATTTTTTTCATCGCAAATTGAAAACTTTTTTAAATATAACGTTGGTTTTGCGTACAAATTTTTTATATATTACCCCAAGCTTAACTGATATTTGACTCAAAATTCCTTGACCATACGAATCAAATTACTATACCTTGTTGGGGCGTAACTCCCCTATACCTAGACTATGCAGACTGTACAACGACTGCAGTGAGTTTGTGGATATATTTGGTGCATCACTAACCTGTTACCAGGCAGCTGCACGGAACTTCATATTACGTAAGTGGCAACTTCATGCCTTATTTGTAATGCAGTATAATTTTAGTTGCACATGTAATTTTTATTTGTGTTTGTTGCAATTTTACTTTCTTCTTATTTGTAAAGCTTATCACATCTTTCTATATTAGGTATTTAAAATGTATATTGTACTACATGTTATAAAAATTAACTGTGTTTGACTGTGTTGCACGTGGTTGCAACCTTTAATTGAATCAACACTTTGGCACTATCCATTTAATTTGTATAACCATAATTGTATGTGTTAAGTGTATGACTAGTTGGTTGTCCTACATAAATAAATAAAAAATAATATAAAAATTAAAATTTCAACTTTTTACTGATTCGACTCTAGTAAGCATTGACCACTTACGTCAGCATAACGATAGTCTTATATGACAACGATTTCGCTTTGCTTATTGTTTATATAGAACGCTATTTCCCAATATAATTTATCAATTATCATTTTTAATAAATGATTAATTTGTATAATTAATAAATAATTTGTAAAACATAATGTGGCGTAAATTGGAATGTTCTTTGTAAAATTAAAAATAAAATATTTAATTAAAACTATTGTAACTATAGCGAAAAAATAGTGGTTTGCATTAATATTAAATATAACTGGTTGATGACTTTACCACCTCAGTCAACCGTGACCATGAGACCTGTAAAGGGCCCGAAACGTTGGTTTGTTTGAAAAAACAAATATACGCGATATAAATCCGGAAAATAGTTTCATTTCCTATATGTAACAATCGCGAAAACTTAAAAATTCAATAATTTTTTTAAATTTTTTTTCAATTATCGTTTTTGGCTTTAATTTGAAAATCTTTATCTACCAAAGCAATTAAGTACACAGACCTGCCTAGTTTTGAAGCTCTATAACACGGGTTAATCCTAAAATGGACACCAGACTTTCACGAACGAAACTGTCTTCAGAAATACGCGGGAACCATAGGTATACGTATAAATACAAATATCCTTTGTGAAGGACAAAAACAAGTTTTCGTTTATTCCAGAGCGTTTAAATTTCAATAAAAATAGCATCGATAAGATAACTCATGTCAATGATGATACTCTCTGACGAGTAATTTCCACAGCCTGTTTCACTCAGTGGCCGATTTTCAACCAACGCTCAAAGCGGTGCGTAATACA